TTTAAGATAGTGTCTTGCTGTGTAGCCCAGGCTGGCCTTGAACTCACAGCAATCTTCCTGTTTCAGCCTCCACAGTGCTAGGATTACAGGCAAGCACCACCATACCTGGCCGAATATTTGTGAGGTCCTAATGTATCTTTAATCCTACAGACAATAAGGTAAGATCTTGAATTATAGCCACACCTTACTGTCACCTTTCCCAGATTAAACTGCTCTTATTTCAATGATTTCTAAGCCTTTGTTAGCTATATAACTTGTCAAAGAGCTCTATGGGATGAAAATTTTTAATAAGATGTCTTTTCCTCTTTTTACCACGACTTGTTTATATTTAAAAATAAAAAAAAACAAGTAAAATATATCAGACAGATAATAATTGGACTGGCTTATAAAATGTGGCTGCTACTCTTCTGCTCCCTCTTAACACATACAGATTACAATAAAGATTAGTATATGTGTTGCCGAAGCAAGCACAAGAATACTCTAAGGATGCCAGATAATTACTACTAACTTTTTTCTACAGAGTCCTTTCAACTTCACTCAAACTCAAATTTGTCTCATGAACACAAGCAACAAATCACAACTAAAATTACTAGGGTAATTTACTTATCAGTGAACAAATTTTTTGTCTTTATTTTTTTCAGTGAACAAATTTAACGCTGATTATGTTGACTATTCTTCATTTCTCCAACTCCCTTCAAGAAGTCTTAAAGATCTATTCTCTACTCTTAAAATACAGAAACTTACTTGGGTTCTGTCCCAAAAAAAAAAAAATACTCATTTCTCCCACATCTTTCTTGCTGCATTGTGGTTCTAATAGGGTTTTGTGTTCCTTATCTTTGATCTCAGGTTTTCTCTGAGCTAATATAACAAGATTTTCTTATCTTGTCCCTTTAGTGCAGGAGCAATGGCTTTCCACCGTTAATCAGCAGATACTTGAGCATCTTTATCAACCCCCCCCATACTAGCAGTGTAACAATCCTTTCCTCAAAACTCTTTTCATTCAATAAATGCAACAACAAAATGTGGTTAAAAAAATACAATGGGATTATTATTCAGCCTTAAAAAGGGAGACAATTTTGATGCATCCTGCAACACAAATGAATCTTGAAGACACTATGCTAATGAAATGAAACAGCCACAGAAAATGTATATATATGAGGTAGGTAGAATATTCAAGTTCACTGAGACAAATAAAATAGAATGGTGGCAACTAGGGCCTGAAGGAAAATGAGATGGGGAAATATTCTTTTTTTTTTTTTTCATGTATTTAGTACAGGGTCTACAGGATCTCACTGTACAGATCAGACTTGTAATCCTTCCTGTTTCTCGGCCTCCCAAGAGCAAGGATTACAGATGTGTGCCATCACACACTGACTCACTCGCCATCTCAGTGCACCCCAGGGGCGGGGCCAGCATGGCAAGCAGGGGATCGAAGCCCTGGCTCCTGCATCTAACCAAGCAGGTGCTTTAATCCGCTGCGCTATCTGGCTGGTCCTCAAGATGGGGAGTGATTCTTTAATGGTACAAATTTTTAGATTGGAATAATGATAAAGTTCTAGAGATGATGATGGTTACAAAACTGTAAGTTCTCAAGATCATGGAGCTACATTAATGTTTAAAGTATAAATTTCATGTCAATACTTATTTTACTAAAACAAAACACTGTTCATTTAAATCTTGTCACTTTTCCAAACAAGACCTTTAATATATAAGGCTTCTTTATCATACATTCAAAACTCTAAAGATTGAAAGGAAAACTATTGCCAATCTGTATATAAATGTACTTTCTGGCTATACACATATTTCATTTGATACTGATATTCATTTCACTGATGATAGTGAGGCAAGAAATCAGACCAGAGAAGAGACAACAAATAAACAAAAAGGAACATTCATAGGCAATATATAAGAGTACTTAGTATCGTGTACACACACAAAGCAATTTTTAAGAAACTAATAAGAAAATACCTACCAAGCTTTTATCCACATTGGAGCTAGTTCTGTTATCATTAGGATTTGCTGAAGGTAAGTGTCTGGTGGGCAGGGTTGGGGTTTAAGAAGAAAGCAAACAGAAAAGTCTTTACTATTTAATGACAAACACCACATGCTTACTCTATGTTCAATATACTTAGCTGAGATTTTTTTCAAAATTAAGTACAAGTTCATACTTTTAGTTTAGAAATAATACAAAAATGATGCATATATTAAATAAAACTCTAGATAAATCTTAAGCAGCACCCTATAATCATATCACTTAATATTCCTTTTTTTTTTTTTTTTTTTTTGCGGAACTGGGGATTGAACTCAGGCCCTTGCGCTTGCCAGGGAAGCGCTTATTCCACCAAGCCATCACCCCGCCTCCTCACTTAATATTCCTATAGTAACACATGAATATGCCAAGCAGTATAAAATATAGTTTCAGATCAGTGTTTTCTTGGCCCTAAGACTAAGTTATGACATGTTTGCAAACCAAACAAATAGTAACTAGAAACTTTTTGTTTTCTATAGCTTTTCGAATTTAAGAACCAGGAGTAAGAAAACTGTTAAGAAGAAATTGTTTCTTATACAGGTAGACATGTGTACAACTATCTCCCTTGCACCCAACTATTCTTTAACAAAAGAAGATATTGCCTTCCTGGGTTTTAAAAAAAAAAAATTGAGTTTATGTCTAAGTAACTAAAACAACCACCAAAGTCTGAGTAATGTTCTTTGAATTTTGGTGAGTCCCACCCTTGAAAAATTCTTTAAATTCAGTGTAAAGAAAGAACTGTATATACATAACAAGTGATCAGTTAGCCTTAGAGATCTTTAGGTGTCATACAAAATTATCAAACAGATATAAGTAGACTGTATATGTGAAAAAATATTCCAAGCTACCAAATGTTATATAGAAGTAAGGTACTGTTGCTGCTGCTTCTAGTACTATCTTCACGAGGCTACCACTACCAATACTATTATTTCCACCATCGATAATCTCTCAAAAAGAAATGAACAGTTACAGTATATTGGACAGCTGCTAGGAGCAGTTGTTAACATATTGGGTATTAATTAAAACTGAACAAAGATAATCAAGTGTCCTTTAAGTACTATTAAACATATATAATGGTCATTTAAAAGAATAGGAATGTCACTTCCTAAGTCCACTTCCTAATTTTCTTGAAAAATTAGATCAACTACAAATTCAAGTAACTAGTAGACAATAGCAGATACGCAGCAAGTTTAAGTCCCATGTAACAAATGACAAATTTTATCCGAAAGATGTCTTCTAAATTTAATACTCTATATAACTAAAGCTGAAATTTAACCTGTTACAAAATTAGTAACTATTCTGAAATCATCAGTGGAAAGGAAATGCGAGGACACTACCAGTACAGAGCCATTAATCTTTTTACTTTCTTTTCTCTTCAAGGTGCCTTTATGTATTATATAAAGTCTAGTCCTTTAAGTAGCCTTTGAGGACAGAAGAGTTAGTATGTTTAAAATGTAGCTAAAAGCTTAATACTTCTATTCCTTTATTTTTTTGAGACAGGACCTATGTGTTCAGGCTGGCCTTGAACTCATGATGATTGTCCTGCCTCAGACTCCTAAGTGGAGGGATTATGGGCATGTATCACTGCCTCACTGAGTCCTTAAGATTATTTTCAGTCATGTTTAATTCAGTCATATTTCTGCAGTGAAGATCTCTGTTCTTGGCAACTAAAAGGATGTTTGAATTTTAGGGTGAAAATTTCAGAAGCTTTCTATGAATATCAGTATATTCAAATATACTTAAATATTGTAAGAACTCATCGATACCTTATCGATTCTTTATTAAAAGCAACCATACTTTTACCCATTCAGCTAATAACCAGTTACTTTAAAAATACTGTTAAGGGCCAGGGAGATGGCTCAGTGGAATAAGCGTTTCCCTGGCAAGCGCAAGGGCCTGAGTTCAATCCCCGGTTCTGCAAAAAAAATAAATAAATAAAAAATAAAATAAATTCTCCCATTTAAAAAAAATACATAAAAAAATAAAAATACTGTTAATTAAAAATGCTAACACTTTTCATACTGAATACAGTATAATTAATGTACTGAATACAGTATAATTTCCACTGATAAGAAACCTAAAAATTATTTTGTGTTACAAAATATAAACACAAAGAAAAACTAAAGAACAGGACCAAATACATGACAATGTTTAGTTTTTAATAGTACTTAGCAATCTGCATTGTACAATTTATCTCTAACCTCACTAGGGTATAAACATCGAGAAGGTATGATACTGTAATGGTTTGGATCTGGAATGGCCCCCAAAAGCCTGTGTTCAGAGGTGCAGCTTTCAAAAGGTGACTGGGCCATGGCAGCGCTATACCCATTAGCGGATACAGTCACTGATGAAGCCATAGCTGTGTGTGCTGTTGGGGGGTGAGGCCTGGCCAGTTTTCTGGGGTGTGAACTGGAAGGCTTTATCTCCTTTCCCAGCTTCTGTTTTTACTCTCTGCTGCCTGGCCACCACAACATGAGCAGCTGTGTGTGTGTGCATGCATGCGTGCATGCATAGGTGTGTATATGACAAAATCATCAAATACACGTTGAATAAAAGAATGGTCAACATACTGAAGTAATTTTTGGTTTTGGTATCGGTAATCAAACTTAGGACCTCACACTTACCAGGGAGGTGCTGTACTGCTGAGCTATATCCTTGACCCTGAAGTAATATTAATAGGGAGATAGATCTTTTGCAAATGGGTACAAGGGTGAAGATAGGAGGGGGGATTAAAAAGAATTAAGATGTATTATGTACATGTGCCAAATCCCTGTGAGGAATGTGATCTTTATGTACTGAAATATAATAGTAATAAAAAGAACACTCATATCTCAAGTATTTCTGTAAAGATTAAAACATTAACTCATACAAATGGTAATAACAGCTAACAGTAAGTGCTTATTCCCTGCAAGACACACTGTTCTGAGTGCTGTGTTCTGGTATTTATTTTGCCTTTACGAAACACCTATGACTACTATTGTTGTCTTTTTATCCCTATTTGTTGGGGAAGTAGATACAGAAAGGTTAAAATTTCTCATGCAACATCACAGTATATGTAATTTTAGTTGTTTAATAACATAGCAAACTCACTAAATGGTTTGGGGAGGATATACATTTTTAAAGACCTAAAATTCTGGACCTTGTATAACATTAATACAGTGATGATAAAGCTAGGAAAGTCTCTATGCTGTGCCAAAATGAATTACAAATCATAACTCTTTAGATGACAACACTGACCAAAATATCTGTATTAACAGCACCCTTTGACCTATAAATTGTTGTTTGAGGAGATACAGTGAAACTTCTGAAAAACAATATCCTGAACATAAATAAGACTAAAAGAAATCAAATATAAGATACTAAAATATCATCCAACACTGCAGATGGTATAATGCATATAACATTAAAACTATCTTAAAATGAATTTCAGCTATCCCCAAGAAGATGGTATGGATATAACAAAGTCATCACTTACCCCTATAATCATTTAAATACTTACCTACGATTGCTGTAATATGTAAATCCTACAAAAGGTAGTTGATTGCCAACAAAGGCTTTAGGAATAGGGAATGTTTCTTCATCTCCTTTATCTTCTTCTAAATCATCAAAATTACTAGTATCGATGTCACTACTTAAATCGGGCACAACTGGTGCTACAGCTACAAACGCAAAGGAAATTATAATTTCAGATTAAATATACAAGTAGAGTATACAGATTCCCTATCAATGTGGCAGGGTAATACAAGCCTGCTGTCTTGATTTCTAGATTGCTTCAGTCCAGGAGTTTGGGGCCTGCCACAGCAATATGAGAACTTGTCTCAAAAAAAAGTTTCACACCAATTAGCTCTCCCTAACAGCTCATAAACAATACATCCCAAATGATTTGAAGCCTAATGACACCGAGACTTACTAAAAAATCAACTAATAGCAATCACTATATAATACTATTGAAATAATTATCTTTGAAGTTAATTATCAGACTTCAGTTTTTCTTTTTGTACTTTTTTTCAATAACCACAAAACAGGACCTATTAGAATTTGGAAAAGCTATCTATTATTTACAAGTATGCTACCTCTATCACAACAAAACCAGTATGGCTCGCTCTATCTACCTACCTACCTACCTACCTACCTACCTACCTACCTACCTATCTAAACAAACCTACAGGTAACAGCATAGGTCTTTTGTTTTGTTTTGTTTTTAACTATTTTGGGTTTTTTGATATTTTGATACCGGAACTGAACTCAGGACCTCGTGCTTGCCAGGCAGGTGCTGCTCTGCTGAGCTACATCCCTGGCTCTACAACATAGGTCTTGACAAAACCAAAAGCACTAATAAAGTACACAAGAAAAATTATAGTTTTTAAATAAAAAGTTCACTTGCTGCTATAAGCCAACAGAGCAGTTCAGTTTGTAAAGCAATTATGGTAAGAATACAGAGCAATACAATAAAATGTCATTGATTTGAACTCTCCAATTTAACGAGACCATGATTTCCATGAGGGAAAAACTGTTGGTCTAATCACTGTTTGCCCACTGTCTGAAACAAAATAGTGCTCAGTACATAATAGATGTTCAATATATCTACTAAGTTATCCTCTCTCTTACTATTTTTTATTTTTTAAAAAAATATTTACTACAAAAAAAAATATTTACTACAGGGTCTCACTACACAGATTGGACTGGTAGTGATTCTCCTGTTTTCAGCCTCCCAAGCCAGGGGATTATAGGAGTATGCCACCTTGCCCAGTCTGAATCGCCATCTCAGCATGCCCCAGGGGCGAGGCCGGCATGGCAAGCCAGAGATCGAACCCCAGCTGCTGTGCTCTGCCTAAGCAGGTGCTTAATCTGCTGAGCTATCTTGTCTGCCTTCATCTCCTCTCTTAAATAATATCAGTTTTCCAATCAGTATAGTGTTCCATTTCTTAGTATTATTATTCTATAGTTATGCATTTCCCTAGCTTTCTTTGAAATAGACTTTATCAAAAAGTAATTCAGTTCCTTTTTAAATTTCTTTTCAGATTTCTATTTGTACGTTTTCAGCCTTCTTAAACTTTAAGAAGTGCATTAACTTGAAAAAAATAAAAAATAAAGCTTTCCAGAGTAACCATCTGTGTCAGTCCCTGTTCAATGCTGTTATACAATTTCTCTTGCAGTCCGAACACAATCATGTCTCATTTACTTAGGGGAAGACAGAAGTTCCTTATATACCAGTGTATATAAATTCTCTGGAAGTCAAGCTGCTCCAGTAGCTTCTCCAGATAGCTGGTTAATGACATTCTTTGTTGTAGTGTAATTTCTTAATTTCAACAAGAATTTATTTTCCTAAGAATTTCATAGCTTAGGCATTGTGTCTGTGCTGTACTTGAAGCAATGTTAACTATTTCTTTTAAAACATTCTGTGTTTAGAATACTTCATAAAACTGGAAAATCTACATGACTTACTTCTTTAAAACAAGAACCCTCACCCCAAGAAACATCCGTCATTGTCTCAACTAGGTAGACAGGACTTCAAATACCTAATTGTAACTGTATTTAAAACTACATAACAAGTCTGCATCTTGTACAGCAATTAACCACTAAGAAGAATATATGCAGTGTATTTTTTGTTGAAACTGTACTTTCGATTTGATTTGAAACTGTCTCATTGCTATATGTTTATCAATAAAACTTTGAAAAGAAAAAAAAAACTACATAGGTGAGTTTGTTTTCATTATTACTGTTCACTGCTTCTGAAAGCAAGAAATTAGAGGCTGGTATATACTACCATTTTTCTGAGTGAAAGGAAAAAAAAAGAATTTCTACAACTTTAGTACAAAAAATCCTTCTAAATCCATAAAGATGATGGGAATTGATGCCATTATTTCTACTATCTTCCAATGCAAGATTTTCTGCAAATTACTGTGTAATTTTTTCCTTTTAAAAACTTAAAAACAATCCTGGTGGAACACATAAGGAATCTCGGCACTCAGGGGGCTGAACCAGGATTACAAATTCAAGGCAAGCCTGAATTGCACTGAGACTCTGTTTCCAAAAACAAAAACAAAAAAAAAGGTTCTAGATTGAAAACTTCTCGTACACTACATACTTTTATTTCTGAATTGCAAGCCATACAACCCTAATAAAATGTACCATAATTTTTATTATCCTCATAAGATTTTGCCATATACTAACACATTAAAAAAAACTTTTTATATTTTAAGTTTTAATAAAAATAAAGGAATAACTTGCATTTCTCAAGAATATACATTTTCATTTCATTACCACAGATTAAGTACCATCCTCCACAACAAAGAAAGAACTAAAGCCTAAAGATTCAACGAAGACCAAGTACCAGATTATAATTGAATCTGAATTAACTACATACATACTGTATCTTGCTATGAGTAGGACATGAAACATGTAGCTGTATAATTTTCACAGTATTTCAAAATACTCTTTCCACTAAATTAGGACAATTCCTAAACAGCATTTGTGTACTTCTGATTTCCAGCAGATGTACACAAATATTTAACAAGGCACTTTCAACTGACTGTTTAGCACAATTACTTTCAAACAGAAATTGTGACATGCAGGAAAAAATGAACTTACTGTCTCTGAGTGTTTCCCAAGCCCACTGATCATTTTTGAAGAAGAGATGTCTTTTGATTTCTTCTACACCATTCCTCCCTAATCTTACTTCTCTGATTAGAGACAAAGAGAGAAAAGTAATTAATCATTTAAGATCTTATTTTAACCTGTGTAGGATTATTTTAAGCAGAACACTAAGCTTGCATAGATCTGAATCACCTTGAAATTATACTGTCACATAATCATCAGCTCAAATAGAAAATAAACCAAGGACTGAGAACATTAAGCTAACTGTTCAAGCTGAACGTGGTGTGTATGCCTATAATCTCAGCATCCTGGGAGGATGAGGCAGAAAGATCACAAATCAAGCCTAGCCTGGGCAATTTAGTGAGATCCTGCTTCAAAATTTAAAAACAAACAGCTGAGGATGTAGCTCAAGGCAAAGGCCTTGGGTTCAAGCCCCATGACTAAAAACAAGCATTCTGTCAAAACTATGAGAAATTACATAAAAACAGATTTGCTAATACTCCGTGAATTTCTACTGATAATGAACACAAACGAATTATCACCATGTGTATAAATAAAAGTCAATACATTTTTGTGACAGTTTTTATGACACAGAGGTAAAGTTAAGCATTTTTTGTGCAACCAACTTAACACCAAATGATATCAAATTCAGAAACCCCTTGTAAAATTTAAATTTCCAATTTATGACTTCAGTTTTCATGACCAAGAAAAAGCCCATGACAAATAATCACTGGTACTGCTACTGCTTCAAAGTTATAACTGGACAAGTTACTACTGATCACTGGCCTCTCTTCGGTGATTTCTTAAAAATGTGCCTTTATGTGAAAAAGAAAAAATTCAGCACCTTTTGTTCTCTAGTAGAACAATTACAAACAAGAATGGCCCAAAACCCAAATGTTTTTATCATAAGAGATAAAACTGTTAGATGTCTGACACTTTCTCTACGAAGCTTTTACTGACTTAAATTGAAATAAAGAATCTGTTGTATGATACACAGATAGCTCTTATCTTACTATAATTGTCTCTCTGTACTAAAAATCCTTGATTTGTCTATTTTCCCCAAAAGATGACATAGCTGAGAAAAAATGTGTATCTTACTCACTTCTATATAGCTAGCACCTAACTCATGGCATAGTACAGTTTTTTATATTAAAATAAAAAATTTGAAAACTATACCTCTTTTTAGCTCTAATAGATGTATTTATAAAGGCAAGTTAAACTTAAAGTGAATTTCAAATTGATATATATGTGTAAGTAGGCCTCCCTACTACTTAAATTAACAATATAGAATTACTAAAATTAAACAATTTTACTAAATCACCTGGTTCATTTTTAAATTTTTTTTATTTTTTGGTGGAACCAGGGATTGAACTCAGGCCCTTGCCAGGGAAGTGCTTATTCCACTGAGCCATCTCCCTGGCCCCTTTAGTTCATTTTTAAATGTGAAAATAAACCATACAACAGTGCTTGCCTAGCATGCACAAGGTTTTGTGTTTAATTCCCAGGAAT